TTGTCGTACAGAATCCTTTTCTCATCTCACGTCACAATACGGTCTAGAAATGGATTGTTCCTGTTGCGCAGAAGCAAGGCGGAGGCGAGCTCGTAGCGGCGATCTTTCTGGTGCTGAGTCAACTCATGCGGCACCCACTTATCGAGCTTCTTCTACTTCCCGATCTCCTGCATGTAGATGCCAACCGTCCTGCTGGAAACACTCAATCTTGAGCCAATATCCTTCAGCGTTGTACGTGGATTCTCTTCCACTAACACTCTCAATTGTTCGTTGCCAACGGCCGATGACCGCCCACTGCGCTCATCATCTTCCAGGCTCTCATCACCGGTACGAAATTTTTCAAACCACCACTGTGCTGTGCGTTGATTCATCGTACCTAGATCTAAGTCATCGTTGATATCCCGGTCCGTTTCCGTCGCACTCCTGCTAAATTTGGATTGGAAAAGAAAAATCATGCGGATCTGCCTTTTGTCCATGCTGATTTCAACCTTCTAAAAAAACCCCAGGAATCATCCCAGGGCAAAACTGATTATATATTTGGATAGAGCAAGAAATGCGCTCCAGAATGGTATAAAACTTGCAAAAAATCTAATAGCAAATAACATCGCGGCGAGCATTTGAAAATTGGGCGTCAAAAACCGCAAGAACTTTCTTCACGACCTAATATTAAAATAGCCGTGAGTGAAATTCCATCGTATGATTGAGTAATGTATGGAATCAGAGCGACTTTCCTGTTTTGTTCTATTTTATGAACTTTGAATTCTACTTCGAATTCAACTACTGGAACACACTCTGCGCAGTTCACGATTTCAAACACAGATTCCGAGGTGGGTATTTGTACCACCTTTACGAAGGAACATACCTCAAACGGCAGAAAACATCCTCATAATGGTCCACCGCGTGTGTGTTCGCACGCTGAATATCCTGGATAATGACCAGCTTCTTGTAACTCCTCTATGTTCTCATGAGGTTTTAAGGTGTTGCATCGGTTCTCTGTGCACGATCCTGCTTCTGCACACCTTGTTGTGTAAAATATTTCGTGCCTGGTTTCTCTTGTGAAGAACTGCAGCACTTTGGAGCATACAAGCTTTAGGGGTTTCTGTCTGAATTTTATCACCTCAATTGTCTTGTTCCCACACCTGGCACTGAAGCAAATTTCCGATTGAATGTGATTGAATAACACTCCTCATTATATTCGTAGAAACAGTTTCCTTGGGTATTGCAAACAATGTTTACTGGATGTCTCATGTGCCCGTGCTGGCAGGCTTGTGAACTGCTCAGCACAGCTAGTATTACTAGCGTTGTTGCCACTGTTGTGGAAACATTCAGTGGTCTCGGATTGAATGTGTTCATAACCACAATTTCTTGAGCTGAAGTTGTGGTGCCCTTTTAAGGAACAACATGATTTATTGTTTTCACACTTATCAGTATGATGACTCCTAAAGCGTACAGCATTATCGCAATAAAAGCCATGGCTCCCATAGACCAGCAGTCTGGGTTGCCTATCAACGAGCTTGCCATAATTTGACTAGCGTGTTCGCGAAATGTTAGAGGAGGACACTCAGCAGTTTCAGTGTAATTGTTCCTCAGATCTCGAGTTGTTACGATTGCGAGTTTGTGCAGAGGGGAAGCCGGTATTTTGAGTACTAGCTTTTTCGATAAAATTATAAATGTTCCACATTCTCTGTTGAAGCACAGTTTAAAGGTTGCGTTTTGAATGTCGACGATTGCCGGGCCATCTGCACACATGAGGCTGTTGTTAGCCGATCCTGTACTTACAGCACACAATAGAATAGTGATTAGTATCCACATTGAACAGTTAGTGCTCGTTGGAATGAATGGGCTATCGCTGTCTTTCACACTTTTGTGTGACATCGTACGCTGGAGTTTTTGAGTTCCTCTCTTGGTTTTTATGCAAAGCTTGCGGCGAATGCGGCGGTCCTGTTACGCTAGGCGTTCGCTCGATATTTGTCTTTTTTTTACCCGGGACTGTACTGCCCTTTTTTTTGCTGAGCTCCCCTCTATTGCTTCGTCACCGGAACGAATTTCGGGAGGATATAGTCTGTTCAAAGGCCCATGCGGTATGATATGTCTAGGCATTTCATCGGGAGAGGTTCCCCGACCTTGCAACTCAAACAATTTGTTGAGTATTCCTTCTTCTGTAGGTTCGCAAATAGCGCTTAGTTGTTGTATGAGCTGTTTGCTCTCTGGGTCATTTGATAAGGGATTGTTCGTGGATGCCGCTGCTGTTAGTTTGCATATGTATGATACCACGGCCATGAATGCTGGGGCCGAGAATTGGTTTGGTTTTGGCCGAAAATTGTTTCTGGCGATCCAGAGGGCAATTGTAGGACCTCACTATTTGGAGGGACCAAGTGATAACAATAGTCCAGTCCAACAAGAATATGGGGATTTTGATGTTCTCCCTGAACTCGTGGATCGCATACCCAAAGTTCGTTCAGTTGGAAGAAGTGTTTGTCCTCCTTCGATAAGTGTACCGATGAAAATCCATTTGTGACTATCGGTTTTGTTTGGGCTTCCATGTCAATTTTCATGCCCTGTGCAGTGAGAATTTTAAGTGCGACCACGTTACTTTGGAACATTTCTGTGTGTCCACCAATTCCCGACATGGCACACATTTCTTGGGATTGTTGGGGAACGCCAGATCCTGTGCCGTCCGTTCTCTTATAAGCTTTTTCTGAGCTCTCGCATCGAAGAAGAGTACCTTTTCGAATTGGACCGTGTTATAGTTCCACACGCTACCTTTGGCTGTCATTAGCGCGATTTGCTCCTTTGCTTCGATAGCCTGGTTTTTTGCATTGTCAGAATTGACGCAGGCATTATTGGCCATTGCTCTACCTTGAAGGGGTTTGTTATTTTGAGCATTACTGTGATTATTACCATTCCATGGCTGTCTTTCCCCTCTATTGTGATAGGGGTTTCTTGGTTCTGGTGGTACCAGTCGGGCCGCCCGGCTGCCGCCGGGCTTCCCTTCTTTTTAAGGTGACGCCCGGCTTCGCCGGGCGCTCCCCTTTGCTGTGAGAAATTTGCTATGCGTAGATCCGCTCTCCCGCCTGACACCGCCAGGCTCCCCACTTCCTCGTGTTAAAATGGCTTCCCCCTCTGCACCTTTATCAAATTCGAATGCTTTTGAAGATGAAAACAGGAGCTATTCATTCCCGACCAAACACAAACACCCAGCACAGTCCACACGCGCCCCGTCCGCCATGAACAGAACTCCTTAGGCTCTGTGTGTTTGAGTAACTCGGTTTATTTGCGACTTATTCAATCTTGGTTTCGAGATTTCGCTTGAAGTCTACATTAACATTTTTGCTCATGCCTCGCCTCCTGTGAGCGGAGTTAAGTCCTGCCATCCACCGTAAGTGTTCCCATCCTGCCGCCTGTACTCCTATCAAATTTGAACGCTCCAGGTCCAAGTTTAAGTTTTTTCACACAAAACTCGCCCATCGTGGGCGGAGTCCGGTTCTGAAACCCACCATAAGTATTCCCATCCTGCCGCCTGTATTCGTACCAAATTTGAACTTTCTAGGTCCACAGGGACAGAAGTTATGAATTTCTGCCCAAACCCCGCCCAATGTGGGCGGAGCCCAATCCTGCCACCCACTATAAGCGTTCCCATCCCATCTGGGGTACTCCGACCAAATTAGGACGCTCTAGGTCCACAGGGACTGGAGTTATAAATTTCCGCAAAAACCCCGCCCCTCTGGGTGGAGTTCGGCCCCGCCACCCACTGTTAGTATTCCCATCCTACCGCCTGTACTTCTACCAAGTTTGAGCGCTTTAGGTCCACGAGGACAGAAGTTATGACTTTCCGCTCACACATTTATTTCGCACTAACCCGCCCCCTGTGGGCGAAGTGCAGCCCCGCCACCCACCATTGGTGTTCCTATCGTGCCGCCTGTGCTCCTACCAAATTTGAACTCTCTAGGTCGACGGGAACCGGAGTTATAAATTTCCGGTCAAACACACACACAGACAGACAGACAAACTAACAGACACACTTAGCGCGTTTTATATAGTAGGATGTTGTTCCTAGGCTGGAATCCAGAACTTGACTTGTTGGAGTCATTGGGACCGTTCCCTTTTTGCATGGGACCATTGGCGAGCATACGCTGACATCGTGCATTTGTTTGCAGCACGAGCAATTTTTCTTGGAACATTCGCTTCTTTTATGGCTGTCAGCGAAGCACTTCCAACACAGCTGCTCCTTTTTCAGGATATCTCTTCTTTCATTCATTCCAACCACAGTTCTGCAATAATTTGACGTGTGGTTGGCATTTTTGCAAAATACGCACGCCTTTGAAACCTTATAAGGCTATTCTCTAGAGTATTTCTCTCTTTCTCCGTTGTGGTCGTGCTTTGAGAAGTTGCGCAATCTTGATTCTACAAATTTCTTCGCTTCTATCTCTTTTTCCAGCTCGTTCATTATGTCTTCAATTTTGACCTCGTCCTTGCTCTGTGTAGTTATCAGGACGTTCTTCGATGTTCTACGGGAATTTTTCGAGAATCTTCTGTCCATAGCGCGTCTTGCGCAATGCGAATGTCGTAACCTGCTGTTACCATTTGGTTAATGAGCATTCTAATTTTATCAAAGACATTGTTGCAGGCAGCCGCGTTGTTGGCCGCTGGACGCATGTCAATTATTTTTGTACTATTTTTGCTCTGTTTATGGGTTTATTCCCATATTTTTTCTCAAGAGCTTCAATCATCCAGTTGTAGTTTTTTGGAACCAACTGTATACCTTTAAAGCTAATTCAGCCCTTCCTCTCAAGCTGCCTTTCAAGAGCAGCATTTTCTCCATGTGCTTAACACTTTATTATCGTCCGCTAGTGTTCGAAAAACTGCCCAGTATTCAGGGAAGTCCTCCTCGTCGCCGTAAAATCTCGGCATTTTCAGCTTCCTGGGTTTCGGAGTGCGGCAAATCGCGTCCTCTGTGTCAAATTATATGTTGTCCAATCTGTCCGACATGTCTTCTAACAGCCAGGCTAAGTCCCCGTCGGGTTCTTTTAAAGACTCACTCTCTCTGTCGTCCTTTTTAGCGCCATTGCGCTGTGCTACTTCGCTCCTTTCCGGGTTCATTCCCAGCCTTTGAGCAAGTTTTTGCAGTTTATCTTCGCTTTCTGTAAGTCGTGCTTCCAACACGTAGATCATTTCGTTGGCATGGGCTATTTTTTTCGTAAATTTGCACTCTGAATGGATATCTTCTATATCATTTATGAGGTCTTTTTTGCTGCCTCTAGATTTTGCTTCGTCGAGTACTTTTTCTAATTTGTCGACAAGAGATTGCAGGAAATCCCTGCTAGATTTTATGATTATTACTCCGCCAGCTATCAGGTTTACTAGAGTAGAGAGAGGGGGTGGTAGAGTACTCTTCATACTGTGTGCGGTCATCGCCTGCTGAGCTTATTTCCTCTGCGCATGACTTGTCTAGCAGAGTGCTAAGAGTTTTTGCGCTGAATTCAATAGGCTTTTTGTGGAAAATCAGCAACTTTTTGCTTTTTCCCTTTGTTTATTGCCCTTTTTTTCAAATTATTTCCTAGTGTATGGATTTTGCCAAAGACCGGTTGATCCTGTTGCTTTGAGCAGCGGTAGTTTCTTGTTCCAGCGGATTTTGCCAAAGGAATAGGCTTATTTAAGGCTCCGCCTTCGAACGGTGGTCTATTTCCCAGTCCGATCGGAGTCACCCGATGAAACGGGAAATTATGGCTGGTTTGGCCGATGCACCAAAGAATTGTCACCGATTGGGAACAGGAACTGCTCCCGTTGGTTTTCTCTGCTTGGACTCGGACGAGGTTGATAAATTTTTTTATTTCGGCTTACGTATCGGCGTGGATCGCCTTCTTCAGAGCCTGGAATGATCGAAGCAATTTATG